ACAAAAGTTCATTGACATCTGTCAGTCAAGTGGATAAGGCTACATTGGAATGGATCGGCTTATACAATCCATCACTTATTTGTGTCGGTGGCAGTGTATGCAGAAAAGGCGAGTTGAATAGCCGACTTGGCGTTATTTACAAATCTTCTGTACCTTATATTGTGATACGGTCTCGAAAGTGACTGTCATATGACAAACGCTGGAACAGCTCTTCAACGCGGTAGCATCAAGATGTTGAGGCTCTTAACTGGTGAGTCAGTGGTGGTAGTGCACTTCAGATCTGGTCAACAAACACAGATGATGCAGCCTTAATGCTTCAAAAGTTGGGTTAAAAAGATCTGTCTGTGGAAGAAGTTGCCAGCAGCAAAAGAAGGCTCTCATTCTCAGTATTTTTTATTCAGTTTCACAGGGAACTTTTGTTAGCTCATTTTTCGCAAAGGTGTGGTGCAAGAAAATATGCGGACACGATGTGGTCCGTACAAGAGGAGAAGCACAGAATGCTAAAATGCTAGCTACCTTAATCCAAATGGAATGAAAATTTTTGATTGGAGATCGCTGAAATCGAGTCACTCTAATTTGAGTGGTGAGTGAGCTTGCTGCATCGCTAACAGTGATTAGAAAATGATCCAGCAACCACCTAATCAGGAGTCAGTTTTGGCCTGATGGCAACTTAGATGAGCTCCGCTGAAGTTTGATTAGAGTCAGTTTCGCTTCCTTCTCACGACTTAATTAACCCAGAGACTAACCCGTCGGTAGTTTGTGTCTCATCGTTAGTGATGAAAATTACCTTACATGCCGGAGTAGGAGACGAGACTCGCCTCATGAACCGAAGTGAAGCACAGCGTGAGTTGGTGATGAGAAGTGAGAGCATTAATTCCGCCCCAGATTGCTACACAGTCTCCTTTATATCAGCCAACAAAGAGGAAATGAATTCTGTGCCCATTCCTCGTTCAGCTCACTAGCTCTGGGGTTATTCCTTTACATTTCGGTCTTTAGCGCTTTCTCGTACATGATGATTCCTCTGCGGTACTTTGGTGACGGTACGAGTCGTCGGAATACAACATGTTTTTGTCAATAACCTTGTGTAAATTTCTTGTTATCTGGGATGTGGTTGCACTTCTCACTCAGTAGTGTATTCTAGTGCTTGCCCATCGTGAGGTCAATGATTCATACCTTTTCCAAGAATACTGCATGGGGTAGGGCATTTGCAGGGTACAGGGGTGGGATCGGTAAAGCAAGTTGATAAATTTTACAAAATGATTCTGCATAGTGCTCCCAGGGGCATGATTTCTATCCCATCTTCCATCGAGAAATCTCCACGTAAAATGTTTTCTGCTTGTCTCCGTTATATCATCTTTCATCTATAACATCCCTGCTATTCTTTTCACCACACGCATTTTTCTGCCAGGTAGTGCATGCCTCAACTACGCTCCTGCAGCTAACTTGGAGAAAGAAAAAGGCAAGTCCATAACTTATTTTAATGTTCCTTTACCTTCTCCTACTACTCTTACCTGCTTTTGCACCTGACTCAGGGGGACAACTGGAGACATTCAATCCCAGGTTTATAAGGCTACTACAAAATTAGTTTTGAGTCACTCCATACACTTTTTGTAGGCAAAAGACCAAAAGCACTTTTTAACAAATGGGCGTATATTCCAACCTGGAAAAGAATCGTGTATGCGCAGAAGTGAAAAGAACAAAAGAGTATCCTCTGAGCAGAAATTACAGAAGATGGACAAAATACTGGAGCTTAAGGAGGCAGCTGACGGATAAAGTGGTCTGGCTGCTATGCAGTTCACAGTGGCAGCAGATGCAAATTCACACTCAAGTCGATTGCTGCATGCTGGCAGAGAAAAGCAGTCCTCCAATTCATCGCACTTTGCCATCTCTGACAGCCCACTTCCAGTCGACTCCATGGGAAGATTGGAGGACAATATTGAGTGAAGTCGAAGTCGGCGAAGAGTTCATCCACACTCTCAGCTGCCAGTCCAGCTTGTGCTAGTTGTGTGGCTTAGTAACACTGCCATCACTACGGTCACACTCCACGCTTGCCACTAATTTCTCAAAGACCTCGACCCATCATTGGTATGTGCTTGTTGTGAGCAGCAGTGAGATGCAGTGTGGCGGTGACTGAGGATGAGCATCTCCTGGGAGCCGCACACATCTCAATAGTAATCCAACACTTGATTTCATTTGAAGGCTCTGTAGAACTCAAGACACCTGATGCCACTCAAATCAAGACGCTTGCTAAATCTGTATTGGGGTCGGGCTCTGAAGAAATCCTGTAGAGGTGTTTCGGAGTTGTGCAAAAGGACTACCAAGAAT